CTCTCTCGGCATCTAGACGAAGAAAGAAAGGACGAGTGTATCCGGGCCCATCACCACTACAAAAACTCAATTTCCTTAGTCTTTTTCTGTTAAACAAAGTCAAGCCTTTTTCGCCTTCCATCCTGCATTTCCCTGCTTGAGACTCTTTTTCTTAGCCCAGTCATCAACCACCTGGTTGGAGCCATGGTCTACCCAACTATGCTTCATATCCTCCTTGCTCTTTGTCTAAGATTAGACTAAAGGTACCAAAGAAGGCAAACTTTTTTCTTGTTTTTCTTCTGTCTAAGAATCTCATAGGTTGTACGCCAGCCATACGTAGCTGGAACTGTGATGAATAGAATAGGCCCGGGAGCTATGAAAGGAGAGAGTTTCTTATTCCATATTTCGGTTGACCAATTCACGTAGTATCCAATCCAGAATATAGGCTTGATTTTGCTCTCTCCCGATGGTACATTTTATGCTCCTAAATCATTGAATTCAAACTCTCTATCGGATGAAAGGGAGCGAGCGATTAAACTCCTATAATATTGGGTCTTAGAGCTAGTAGAGCGCAATACAAGCGAATGGAGTGGAATCTACCATTGAAGAAAGATATTTGCTTAACCAGATCAGCTTTAAAGAGCAAGCAATGACCATTGAAAGAGGTCGCTATAAGAGCCAGCAAAGTTACTCATGCACCTTGAGCGAGCCACCTGGCGATTGAGGGGTAATCATATGTTTCTGTTAAAAAATTATCCTCTCATCGATGTTATACCGAATTGAACTAATAAAAGTTTCTCATTTAGAAAAAATGGCGAAAGAGGCATCCTTGCATTGCCCAACTAGAGCGAAAAGCCTTATTGCGTTGCAGCCGTAAGTAGCTATGGGGTGTTGATGTACTTGGAACCTAGACCGGTTACCTGAGTATGCGGTTCGGTAGCCATTCAATGATAACATGAGATCCTCGCTTCGGTAAGCTATAAGGATGAATGCAAATAGCAAGGCGTTGTGTCGTGTGAAGTGAGACCGGCTGCCCTAAGTTAAGTGCTTCCTTATTAATATTAATTAATGATCTTGCTCAGTAGGAGGGCTTTCCCCCTTCTATGCAGTCTGATTCTCTCTATGGAAATGAGGATACCCTAAACAAGTTTAATATTTCCCAACTACAACTCTATCCCTAATCAAGAATTTAAATAAAAAGAAATAAAAACAAAAATTAATTTTATCAATATAGAAATATAAAAAAATAAAGAAAAAATTATATTTCCAAAAAAAATAAAAATTAAATTAAAAAAAGGACTTTTTCAGATAGAATATCAAATGTTTTTAAATAAAAAATAAGTGAAAATGGATATTTAGAATATGATAATATAGGAAACATTGTTTTAAAATAAAATAATACTGCATAATTAATATTTTCTGATAATAGATCATATATTTCAGAAATAAGTTATAAAAGAGAATTAGAAAATATAGATACAAAAGAGCCCAATACTAGTTATTTTCCATCAGGACACACTCCTTTTAATAAATATGAAATAAAAGAAAATTTTAATTATTTTGACTTTCCATCAAGAACACCTTATACTAACAGGTATGTAAACCCTAACTTATATGTAATTTTCGAAAATAACCTAGGGTTCTTAGGGTTTCTTTTGATGTTCTTAGTTATAGGTTCGATAGAGAAAACATAGATCATTATTGGGGTTGCATGCACATTTAAGAGTTTAAGTTTATTTGTTTTGCATAAAACCCATCAGTGGTATTAAATCGTTAGGTTTGTTTTCTATTTAATGGTTATAATTGATGAATTTATCAAATTATGGTTTATGACAATTAAACCCTTTAGGCTAATGATTTCGAAAGTATGGTTTCTTGGACCCTAAGTTTCGAAATTTTGGTAGGGGATGAAACCCTTACCTTACCTCCCAAGTATTCGATTTTTTTTAGGGTTTCTTGCCCTTCAAGCTTTTGAAATTTATGGTAAGGATTGAAATCCTTACCTTCCTCCCAAAGCTACTATTTTTCAAATTTTGGTTAGTGTTAATAAGGTTTTCTTATTTTTTATAATTATCATTTTATTTGTTTAAATAGGGTAATTTTAAAATTGGATAAATCACCCATATTTTCGAATTAGGGGTATGGATTAGGATTAAATTATTTGATTAATTTAATTAGATAATCCTTATATCATTTAATATATTTGATTAAATGTTTAATTAATAGAGAATTATTAAATCATTTGGTTTAATTTTAAATTTAAAGTTTATTTTAATTTTCGATATTTAAGATTTAAACCTAGTATTTTAAAATGTTTTAAAATACACCTTATACTATGTATATATAATTAAAAGTTTAATATATATTATACGTATAAAAATAGTTAGTCAAATCCTTAGTACACCTCATTTACGAAGTCATGCTATAAAAAGGGTACGAGGAAGCGACATATAAGATGGCCGTTGAATGAGTGTTCACTCTCACTCACCGCTCTCCTGTGTGTTGGAGGGTCGTTAGCCGAACGGATTTGATAGGACATAACTTTATTAAAAGTGTAATGATATAAAATCACTAAGCTATTTTCTAAAATCCTATTCTTAGTTACTTTAGGAAAAATGTGAATTTGTATGCTAATCCATGAAATTGCACATTACACTTTATACAGTCAGTGGAGCGCATGTGGTTAACCAGCATACTAATATGGTGATGTACAACTATAATAAAATTATCATATGAGAAAATGGCTATAGAATATTAAATGATAAACAATATTATAAAGTAATGTTAAAATCATACCTCGGTATCCTTTGAGGGCCTATCATAATGGGATACGCTAATGTACAATTATAATAACATTATCATACAATAAGAAAATGGTCATATTAAAATTAATGATCAAGTACATTGTAAACATGTAATATTAAAAGTGTACCACAATATTCTGTGAGGGCCCTTTAATCTACAGGATACGACAAACGATTTTTCCATGAACATTCACCCGAGGAAATGCCAAACATGTATATGGTTTACCCTTTATAATTTAGAGATTTAGGGTATGGGTCGTATGATAGTATCCAAAACACGACTTCAATATGTGACAACCGTATATGATATGTTTTATTAAATTAAATAACACCACAAATGTTAATCTAGAGTCCACAATGTATAATTTTGCCATATGCTATCAACATTTTTATCGAATTGATTTTCACATTCTTGAATGCGATGTTGTTTCTCAATTTTACTTGAGGAATATTTGAGGCTTAAGTATATGACCGATCGTGAGGATTCGAATGGATGAGCTGCCACAAAAAAGGCCCTTAAGTCTTAATGTGTAATAAATTAAATTGAATAAATTATTTTTAACAAAATGAAGATAAACTTTATAGCAATAAACATAACAAAATCATAATATTTTAATGAGTAACTATATATCGTAACAACTAACCGACGACTCACGAAGCTCTCCTGATATTCTTGATGACAATTTGGTTGATCAACTCCTCTTAGTAATTACATAGTATTTTTAATAAGTAATTACACAATCAATTTGGTTTATATTGTGCTTAGAACTTACGTTTTTTTTTTCCATCATCTCTTAATAAACGTGCATCCACTTGACTTTTAAGGGTCAAATGAACTATTTTACAAAATCAAATTTCACAATATTGATTCTATTAGAGTTGAATTGATGCAATGGAAACAATTTGGATATTAAAAACACTCATGAACATATGTAGATTTTGACAATGAATAAGGCTAGATTTGAAGTCTTTAAGAGTCAAAAGTTGACTTTTTGGGAAGGAAGGAGTAAAGTACCAAAAGGGTGTTTGGATTTATGGCTTCATTTGAAACAAGATAGTTGGCTTTGATTGTTTGGTAAAAGGGTAATATGATTATGATTTTTAAAGCAAGTAAATAGATAAACATAAAACTAACTGAGTAACTGATTATCTTATTATTGGATTTTGATTCTTTAGTTACAATAAACACATATTCAATAATCCAAATACCCTTACTCCTTGATACGTATGAACTCTAACATGAAATATACAATATTTACATGCTTGGAATTAAGTATAGACTCAAACATCATTTGTTACCATAGATAATCATATTCAGATTACTCAAGAAGAGAACTTAAATTAACTCATTCACTGAAAATTATGGATACAATGAAAACCCCATGACCACGAATAAAATCATATAAGAGTTTATCAAATAAAGAATGTAAGATCAATAAATTGATTTAATTCAAAATTTAAAACTTCAATTAAAACCTTCAAAATGCAATTGACCCAGATTGAGTATTCGATTAAATACTCATAATTGATTAATTGGATTGGGAAAACAAAAAATGAGGGAAATGTACCTCCAATTGCAGAAACATTGAATAAAATTGAATGCTTACTTGATTAGTAATCGAATAACAGAGTCTAAGAGAGTAATTCTAATTTTCAATTGACCCTGACTGCACTTTCAATGATCGGCAATTGGCAAACGACCATGACAATCGTTTATGGTTTCTGTGTTGCATTCTCAATTCTCACGTATCTCCAACTTGTCGACTGGACTTGGATTATCATTCATTCATTTGTTGGGTCTGAATATAGTATTAAAAAATGGGTTCCTTACAAAAATAGGCCCTGTTCGTATTCCCATTTTGCCCATGTTCTTCATCGACATGCTTAAATAGATAAATATACGTAAGCCAAGATGGTGTATATCTATTAAACTATCGAACAAACCAAAACGCTCAACCACAATCATCCCTCAACAATAATAATTATTACGAATCCTTCAACAATAATAATTATTACAAATGATGTCACCCTTCCATGGTTATCCTTGCTTTTCCTCGCAAATAATTTATTTAAATTGAACATTTTTCATTACTCCAGCCGGTCATATGAAATCAGCAAATTACTTGAACAATTTCTTATTTCTTTTGTGATAAGCGGAATATTTCTAGGCGAATTTACCACCATGTCCTCCTACCTCTTTCTCTCATCTCATGGTATGTTTGTACTCTGTACTACGAGATCAATAGGGTTGATTTGGTCATTTGAAGCTCAAAATTTCACACGATTTACCCGAGTAAAGGTTATGGGTATATGATAAAAAATTCAAAAATGAGAAAACCCACACAAAACGTTAAAAATTCACTTGCTGCATGCTCCTCCTGGCTATAACACAAGAAAGCGGAGCCCTCACAAATCAGACACCACTCTCTTTCTACAGACGCTTGTAAAACCCTCTTCTCTCTCTTCTCTCCTCAATTTCGCCATCGATCGATAAAGGTATCTTTTGATGGTTTCTGAACTAATCGTTACGCACATTTCACATTAGCATTTCAGTAGAATTAGGGTTTTTCTGTCGAAATTTTTTCTCGGGAAAACAATTCCGTTCTGAGGTTCTGTTTTGTTTTTATTTCTCATTTCGTAGTTCTCCTTGATTTTGCAGAACATGAATGCATGTGGTTAGTCTTCTGATTTTTTTCGTAAACGTGTCGTTTGACTGTTCAGTGCTGTTTTAACACATGTTTTTGCTTGTTTGGTTGTTGAAAATGTAGGGTTTAATTTTATGTTCTTTTTATATCGCTTTACTAGTCGGAAATGTTAATCTGAGCGATCTTCTTCTACATAATGCTTTGATCGCTGTTCTCTTGTTCTTACCATCATCAAGTGATTATTCCTCTTTTCTAGGTCATAAAACTTACCACATTTGTGGATTTTGCACATATGCATAAACATTGTTTCGTTTTTGCTTTGACGAGTCGTGTTGTTGGTGTCTTAGCGTGCTAGTTATGCGATGCTACTTTACTAATGTTTACAGTATGTGAAATGGAGAGTTATTGTACCTTATGGTTTACTTTGTTTCTATTAACCCTGTACTTGCATCATAGTACTCCAAATGCTTCTATTCCTAGAAATATCCTTGTTTCAAACGTCCAGTTTTAGGCTAAGTTTAATGTACTTGAACTCTTGAAGATCCTTTTATGTTTTTGAAAGCTAAGCATCTCTGTCTCTCTATTAAGGTAGCTGCTAAAAGTGTGAAAAGTTTTATGGACATCTGTGCTGTAATTGGGAAATGAAGGTGTCATTATTAGGTTGAAAATGATTGTTTTTTATTTCGCTTTTTCCTGACTGATAAAGCTATATGTTGCAGGGATTAAAGGCATGCTATTACATTACAGTACATTATTTATCATGTGTTTAGTAAAACAATTCATTTGGTTTTCTGGTTTGTTCTTTCCAAGGTGGTGTGATGCTTTTTTCTTGGTGAAACAGATTTGATGATGGAAGAAAATCCTTCACCAGCTGTTTTGGAAGGGAAGATTACCGGAATAAGTTTCTCATTGGCCACTGAAGACGAGATTGTTAGTTTTTTTCACTTTCCTTTATAAATATCACCATATCAGTTATCTTGGTAATTTTCTTGTCTAACTACCTTTTTGTGTGTGATGCATGAACATACAAATCCGAGTAGCGTAAAGCTTCCATTAGTGATTGCCCCATTAGCCATACGAGCCAGCTGTCCAATCCGTTTCTTGGACTTCCCCTCGAAGTGGGAAGATGTGAATCTTGTGGCACAGCTGAACCTGGCAAATGTGAAGGTGTGTAATTTGCTTATCTTTTCCCCTTATTGTAAATATCTCACATTAGTTTTAATGTGCTTGATACATTCTTTGTTAGGCACATTTAACCAATTAGTTTTTTTGAATCCATTTTCTAAAATCTGCTTCTCTTGCCTGTTTCAGGTCATTTTGGGTACATCGAGTTGCCGATTCCGATATATCATCCATCTCATCTTAATGAGCTCAAGCGTATCTTGAGTTTAATATGTCTCAAGTGTTTAAAGTTCAAGAATCGAAGGGTATATATTTTTTGGTTTCTTTAAGTTATGTTTATATCTCTTATTTTATTTCTTGAATCTTTTATAAATTTCTGGGGTATTGAAGGGGACAAAAATAACAACATTTTAATAAGGAAGTGCTTTAATTCTTCTCTTGTTTTACACAATGTTTTTGCCACTTAATGAATTCGTTCATTCATTCGCTTGCACACATTATTATCCTCACTGTTTTGTTATAGTTATTATTTATGTTTATGGCAAGAAGGTTCATTTTGAAAAATATTGTTAAAAACATTCTAAAGACGGTTATTTGCAGTGATAAATAATAAATATATGAATATTTCGCAAGTATACATGCTATTCTATAAATTATTCTGAAAGAATATTAGAGGATATGAGTTACAAATATTGAAACACGCCTAGTTGACTTTTTATTTTTTATTTTTCATTTTCATTTATTTATTTGCTGCATAATTCATTTGGCATAAAGCAATCACACATCCATTTCTTACACTTTCTCTTGCTTTCAGTTGCCAAACAAGACTGCTGGTATGTTTGAAAAGGTTTTGACTGGATGTTGCGAGGTAAGCATCCTATATCTAACTTTCTCAAACCTAAATTTTCGTTAATACATTTTATTTTATTTATTTACTGTATTGATTTAGACTCTTGTTGCTAAATGTTGTATAGGAAACTGCAAATGTAACTGTGGATGTGGTACAAAAACAAGATGGAGCATCTTACTTACAGCTTAAAGTTCCATCTAAAACAAGTAGAGATGGGTTATGGGAATTTCTTGAACGTTATGGTTACAGATATGGTGATGGAAACAAGAGACCTTTACTTCCATCTGAGGTAATACATGAAACTATTCGATGATATGATAAGATAAGACAATCAGTTGATTAAATCTATAGTTAGATTGATAACTTTACTTTTTGTGCAATGATTTCAGGTGTTAGTGATGTTAAAGAAAATTGACAAGGATAAGGCAACTAAAAAGAAGTTAGCTGGGAGGGGATGTTTTTTCCAGGAAGGGTATATCATGCAACATCTTCCCATCCCTCCAAATTGTCTTTCAACACCAGATGTCTCTGATGGCATCAATGTTATGTCTTCGGTTAGTTGACTTTTCCATTAAAGATTTCTGAACTTAGTGTAGATTTTTTTTTAAATGAAACTAAGCTTCATTTATTGTTTTTGAAAATATGCATGATTATCTTTGTAATGGTATTCCAGGATATTTCAATGACGATGCTTAAAAAAGTTTTGAGACAAGTGGAAATTATTAAGAGTTCCAGATCTGGGATTCCAAACTTTGAGTCTCTTGAAGTCGAGGTTAATGATCTGCAGAATGCTGTATCGCAATATCTTCAATCAAGGGGTGCTAAGGTATTTCTATTGGCTGTTATTGTATCTCTTTTTATGTTAAATGAAAGACATAGCAATATACTTTAATTTATTTGTTATTATATCATTCTACTTCCATTTCTTCCTTTTACAACCTTGTAGTTTTGATGAGTCTACCCAATTAGACAAATGTTATTCAAATACAAAACATATTTGAATGCTATAATTGGGTAGATTTTTTAAAATACAACGCTTTAATAAGAAAAAAAAGTAAAAGTACAACGTTGTAATAAACAGAAATGTAAGTAGGATGGTATAATACACAAAAAACATGCTATTTCTTGATTTTGTGTAACTAATGTTTTCTTTTGATACTTTTAATCATTATAGGCCTCCCCCAACAAAAATATACGCTACGGAATTGCAAAAGAACTGAACGACTCTTCTTCAACCAAAGCATGGCTTGAGAAAATGAAAACTCTTTTCATAAGTAAAGGATCAGGGTTTTCTTCCAGAAGTGTCATAACAGGTGACCCATACAAAGGTGTGGGCGAAATAGGAATACCATTTGAGATAGCTCAGAGAATAACATTTGAAGAAAGGGTAACTGAATACAACATGAAGTTCCTTCAGAAGTTGGTAGATGACAAGTTGTGTTTAACATATAGAGATGGCAATAACACATATTCTTTAAGAGAAGGGTCAAAGGGGCACACGTTTTTGAAACCAGGACAGGTTGTTCACAGAAAGATTATGGAGGGAGATGTGATCTTTATCAATAGGCCACCCACTACCCATAAGCATTCGTTACAAGCTTTATCGGTTTATATCCATGATGATCACACCTTCAAGATTAATCCTTTAATCTGTGGGCCATTGAGTGCTGATTTTGATGGAGATTGTATTCACATCTTTTACCCTCAATCCCCAGAAGCAAAAGCTGAAGTTTTGGAGCTTTTTGCAGTTGAAAAGCAGCTTTTGAGCTCACACAGTGGAAATGTAAACCTGCAGTTTGGGTCTGACTCTTTGTTATCTCTTAAAACTCTGTTCAAGAAATTCTTTTTCAAGAAATCAGAAGTCCAACAGCTGGCATTGTTCACATCAAGTACTTTGCCCAAACCCTCAATGTTAAAAGTCCGGGGTGCTGGCCCATTTTGGACTGTTTTGGAGCTTCTGGAAACATCTTTACCTCCGGGATTCGATTGCTCTGGGGAACGCTTCTTGATCAAAGACAGCAAAATATTGAAGCTGGATTACAGTCGGGAGGTGATACAGTCCATCATCAATGATGTGATCAGTTCGATTTTTTTCACTAAAGGCCCAAAAGAGGTGTTGAAGCTGTTTAACTCGTTGCAACCGATGCTAATGGAAAATCTTTCCGGTGAGGGATTTAATCTAAGTTTGGAGGATTTTATTGTCCCGAAAAGTATATTGAGAGATATCGAAATCGAGCTTCAAGATTTATCTTCTTTGCTATATCATTTGAGATCAACCTACAACGAGGTGATTGCGTTACAGCTTGACAAACATCTGAGGGCAGTAAAATCGCCAATTTCTGAATTTATCTTGAAGTATTCATCGATGGGTAGTTTGATCGATTCAAAGAGCGATTCTGCTGTTACAAGAATCATCCAACAAATTGGGTTTTTGGGACTACAGATTCTGGAAAAGGGGAGGTTGTATTCAAGAACTTTGGCAGAGGATTTATCGAAACATTTTCGCGGGAACTATCCGTTTCCAGAGAAATACCCATCTGAGGAGTTTGGGTTAATCCGGGGCTGCTTATTCCATGGGCTTGACCCGTATCAGGAATTGGTGCATTCTATTTCAAACCGTGAAGTTATGGTGAGGTCTTCTAGAGGGTTGACTGAACCCGGAACTTTGTTCAAAAACTTGATGGCTATTCTTCGTGATGTTGTAATCTGTTATGATGGGACTGTGAGAAATGTGTGTAGCAATTCAATCATACAGTTTGAATACGGGGTCCATACACAGAATTTGTTTGCTGCTGGTGAACCGGTCGGAGTATTGGCGGCAACGGCCATGTCAAACCCTGCATACAAGGCGGTTCTTGATTCTTCCCCAAATAGCAACTCCTCTTGGGATATGATGAAGGTATTCTATTCTGCTCATTCTAATTCATTTAAATGTTATATATTTGTTTATTATAGCCTTTTTCCTATTACAGCATTGTATCCAAATAAAAAGAAATTTTCACTCAGGATATTAAAAGTACAATGCTATTATAACTGGGTAGATTTTTTTTTCAAGTACTAGGCCTTAATACGAAAAAAAGTTAAGAGCACAATGCTGTAATGGAAAGAACTGGAAGTAGGATGTTATAATACACAAACAAATGAAAGTTTGTTCTCTTGATATTCTTAAAACTGTTTCTCTGGTTTCCAAATTTTAGGAGATTCTGCTTTGTGGAGTGAATTTCAAGAACGTGCATAATGATCGTCGGGTGGTACTGTATTTGAATGACTGTGATTGTGGCAATAAGTATTGTCTTGAGAAGTCTGCATATTTTGTGAAAAATCATTTGCGAAAAGTCAGCCTTAAAGATACTGCTGTTGAATTCCTTATAGAGTATGTTTATCGTTACCTATTCACCTTTGTGGCGTTTTGACCCCGAATCTGTATTGATTACTTTTACTCCTATTGTTTGCTGAATGCTGATTTCTTCCTACAGATTCACAAGACAGCAAACAAGTGAAAATGCTGAAATTGGTGCAGGACTTGTTGGTCATATTCATCTGAATCAGGTTTTTGTTTTTTGTTATATAAAATTGATGTGAGCATAATATAATGCTTTCCTCAATTTCAATTTGTTTAGTTTGACAACAAGTTATAAACGTTATCTGAGCAGGCAATGTTGAAAGAATCCAATATTAGCATGGAAGAGATTCTTGTGAAATGTGAAGACACCCTGAATATCTACCGGAAGAAGAAGAAAGAAGTTGGATTATTGTTCAGGAGTATAGCTTTATCTTGCGGGTCTGTAGTATGCTTGTTTCTTTTTTACTTTATTATTGGGGAGAGGACGTAATCTATAAGCTATACATGAGTGTCACTTTCTGAATTAATGGACCATTTTACCCTCGTTTGCTTTTTCCTCCAACTTCCCCAAACTTGGTGTTATTTTCTAGTTGGGAAAAAGAAACATGGCCTTTTAAATATAATATGACTTTTTTTATTTTTTATTTTTTTGCAGTGAATGTTCGTTCCACCAATCATCAGAAAACAAATGGATGCCATGCTTGAAATTCTTTAGGCAGGACACTGGTGGTCTTCAATTGGAGAAGGCCGCTCGCATACTTGCTGACTTTGTTTGTCCTGTTCTTTTAGATACAATTATAAAAGGTATTTTTATCAATTCTTGTTTATTTCTTAGTCCTAAATAATTAATATATAAGGGCATTTACCTCTTTTATGCAAGCAAGCTGTCGAGTAGCTATCCCACTTTTTTGGTTATGACTTTTGGAATTGTTTTATCATTGAATAGGCGATCCGCGGGTGAAAGAAGCCAATATCATTTGGATCGGTCCGGAATCAACTGTTTGGATTAGAAATCCAAATAAGGATCAAATGGGTGAATTCTCTAATCCAAATAGGGACAAAAAGGGTGAATTCTCTAATCCAAATAAGGATCAAAAGGGTGAATTGGCGATTGATGTGGTTCTTGAGAAGGCAGCTGTTAAGAAAAGCGGGGATGCATGGAGAACAGTGATGGACACCTGCCTTCCTATAATGCATCTGATCGACACTACACGATCCATTCCTTATGCAATTAAACAAGTTGAGGATCTTCTTGGTACATCTTGTGCATTTGAGCAAGCTGTCCAGGTAACACTATCTATCTATCTACACAATTTCTAATTTGGTTACTAGACTTCAAATTTGCTTTTAAAAATCATCCAACTTCGATAACTGTTATAAACAACTATTGGAAAGTGTTGATATAAATCATCATTAAACTACATATCACATGTAAGGATTTTTAAAGTCGTGTGACCAAAATCCAAATTATAAATGAAATGAAAATTAATTGCTATTTGTTGCAATTTGCCCTCAGATCTAAGCCAAAAGTTTTAATTTCTTTTTATAGTTGGGCTAATGCCAAGAAATAGCTGTTACTTCTATTTATGTGTTTTATAGCATCCTACTTTCAGTTCTTGCTACTTTCATTTTTTTTCTTATTAGAATATTATACTTTGAAAAATCCACCCAATTATAATATTTAAAGTTGTTCTGACATTGCTATAACTGGGTGGATTTTTCATAGTACAATGCCATAATATAGTAGGAGGAAATGAATTTACATTGCTATTTTTGGTTAACCTTTTATAATTTCATTTCAGAAGCTTATATTGATTTTCAATAAAACATGACATGCGGCATATGATAAGATTAATTGTTTTTTTATTTTTATTATCTGAAAACTGATCCGATTTTGCTTTTGTTGTGTAGCGCCTCTCAACCTCTGTTTCAATGGTTTCCAAAGGCATGCTGAAAGAGCACCTACTTCTATTGGCGAATAGCATGACGTGTGCAGGAACTCTTGTTGGTTTCAATCAAGCTGGCATAAAGGCCTTGTCCAAAACCCTTAATTTCCAAGTACCATTTTCCGAAGCGACATTATATGTAAGTCATTGACTTTGTACCTTATAGATATTAATTGTGTCTGACTTAACATTGACATTTTTACCCTTTGAATTTCTCCAGACACCAAAACGCTGTTTTGAGAAGGCGGCTGAGAAGTGCCATTCTGATTCTTTATCCAGCATTGTGGCTGCATGTTCTTGGGGCAAACCAGTTGCTGTGGGTACAGGATCTCGGTTTGATATACTGTGGGACACAAGAGAGGTTTGTACTTTATTATGAATGCGTAGAGGAGTAAAGTTACTTCTATACCCTTCTTGTAGCCTCATTTTATCTTAGGGTTAAATGCGACAAATAGCAACATGTTTGGATTAATTTGTTTATTGTAGCATCCTAGACTGTATTTCTTTATAATATAATGTTGTACGTTGAAGAATCTTAGCAAATAATACGTAGATTTTTTATAGTATAATTGTCCTATCCTAACAAGTACAATGCTAAAATTGTGGATTTTAACAAGCACAATGCTTTACTAGGAAAAAATTGAATGTACAATGCTGTAATATAAAGAAATGAAGGTAGGATGCTATAATACACAACAGTAATTTATGTTTTGATCAAAATTTGACCACCATGTTTAGTATAACTGATTATTTGATTAATGATATCATATGATCTCTTTGAAAATGCACATTATTAAATATTAATATGAATTATGTTTTCAGGTTGAACTTAACCAAAAGGATGGCATTGATGTATACAACTTCCTTCATTTAGTACACGGTGGATCAGAAGAAGAAGCTGATAATGGATGTCTTGGTGGTGAGGTTGATAGTTTTGACATGGAGGATAATTTCATGGAAGCAGGGTCTCCCGAGCATGATTCGGGTGCACCTAAAGCAGTTTTTGAGGACACTTTGGAACTAAATCTTGGTCAAATGGAGACTGCAGCTCCTGAAGATGGGAACTCCGGTGGCGGCTGGGGGGCAGCTGTGAAGAGTACACCACCTGAAAGTGGCAGCGGCTGGGGGGCGGCTGTGAAGAGTACACCAGCTGAAAGCGGCAGTGGCTGGGGGGCGGCTGTGAAGAGTACACCACCTGAAAGCGGCAGCGGCTGGGGGGCAGCTGTGAAGAGTACACCACCTGAAAGCGGCAGCGGCTGGGGGGCGGCCGTGAAGAGTACACCACCTGAAAGCGGCAGCGGCTGGGGGGCAGCTGTGAAAACTACACCTACGACTGAAGGTAGCAGTGGTGGATGGGGGGCGGCTGTGAAGAGTACACCTACGACTGAAGGTAGCGGTGGCTGGGGGGCAGCCGTGAAGAGTACACCTACGACTGAAGGTAGCGGCAGCTGGGGGGCAGCTGTGAAGACTACACCTACGACTGAAGGTAGCGGTGGCTGGGGGGCGGCTGTGAAGAGTACACCTACGACTGAAGGTAGCGGCGGCTGGGGGACAGCCGTGAAGACTACACTAATAAGTGAAGGCGGCAGTGGTGGTGACTGGGGGAGTGAGAAGGAGAAGGGATCAGGGTGGGGTAAAAAAGCGGAAGAACCTGCATGGGGCGGGAAGAAACCGGATTCGGACGCTGGGGCAGGATCAGAATCAGCTCCATGGGGTAAAAGAGAGGAAACTGCTTGGGGTAAGAAAGTTGACAGTGGGGGTTCAGCTGCCGCCTGGGGTAAAAAAGATGGCACCGGGGACTCAGCTCCATGGAGCAAAAAAGCTGACACTGGCGGTTCAACTCCAGCTCCAGCTCCATGGGGTAAAAAAGCCGACACTGGGGGTTCAACTCCAGCTCCATGGGGTAAAAAAGATGACACTGCTTCATGGGGTAAAAAAGCTGACCCTGGGGGTATTGGTTCAGCTCCATGGGGCAAAAAAGATGACAACGGATCAGCTCCATGGGGCAAAAAAGATGACACTGGGGGCTCAGGCTCAGCTTCATGGGGTAAAAAAGCTGACACTGGGGGTATGGGTTCAGCTCCATGGGGCAAAAAAGATGACACCGGATCAGCTCCATGGGGTAAAAAAGATGACACTCCAGCCCCATGGGGAAGAAAGGATGTTAAAGCTGACGAGCCTGGTCAAGTGGAAGAGTCTCAGTGGGGTAAAATAGAGTCCTCTGGTTCCTGGGGCAAATCAGTACAAAAGCCTGATTCCGCTCCGAAATGGGGTGGGAATAATAAAAGCGAGGAGGGGTTGGATTGGAGTAAAAAGGTGGAGGAAAAAACAGAATCCAAGGATGGATGGGGTTCTCAAAGTCAATGGGGTGCAAAGAATCCTGAAGGGGGGTCATCAGAAGACACCACCGCCGAAGGCGAGAAACCAGCAGGAGCTTGGGGATGGAATCGGAAACCCGAGCAGAAACCGGATCAGGGACAGGGTGGCTGGAAAAAGAAGGAAGGGTGGGGGCCAAGGAGAGACCGGCCTGCTCGGCCAGCTGGCGGGCCAAATGACGGGCCAAGGCCCGGTGGGGGACCGTTCACTGCATCTCGTCAAAGGCTGGATCTGTTTACTTCAGACGAACAGGAGATTCTCGCTGATATTGAGCCCATCATGCTTTCTATTAGGAGAATCATGAGCCAAGAGGGGTGAGTAAACTCTGTTGACTTTTTAAATTATAGCATAACCTTTCCCAATATAATTTTCTACTTTGATAAGGGTATTTACGTCTTTTTAAGTCCCTCCCCGTGTATTTTGTAACAAACGCATGGGGATTTGTAGTTTTATTTAAAAGCACATTAAGTTGCTAATAATAGCATTTGTTGTTGTTGTTGTGAAGATATAATGATGGCGATCCTTTGTCTGCTGAAGATCAAACATATATCCTTGAAAATGTATTCAACCATCATCCAGAAAAAGCTCAGAAAATGGGAGCTGGGATCGATTACGTCATGGTATTAATTTAATTTTTCACCACCCAATCTACTTGCTATTATATATTTTTTTGGATTTGGAAGTTGTAATTATTATTATTGTTGTAGGTGACGAAGCATACGCTTTTCCAAGACAGCAGGTGTCTTTTCATAGTGTCAACAGATGGGCGGAAAGAGGACTTCTCTTACAGGAAGTGTTTGGAGAACTTTGTTCGTGGAAAATATCCGGACAAAGTGGATGAATTCATGTCAAAATACTTCAAGAAGCCTCAACCTCGGCCACCAAGGGAACCACGCCCCCCTGGCCCAGGTCAAGATGAAGCCATCGGGACCCCTAATTCCCAATCTCAGTCTGGATGGAAACGGGGGGATTCCAATGATGAAGGTGGCACCCAGACCCCTCGCTCCCAGCCAGGATGGAACCGGGATTCCGGTAGTGATGCCGGAACACCCCGTTCTCAATCACAATCTCAATGGGGAGGGAGTGAGGCAGGAACACCTGTTTCTGGTTCTGGATGGAAGAAGGAGGCAGAAGGCGGAGGAGGATGGAACAAAGGAGGTGGAGGAGGGGGTTGGGGGTCCTGAGAGTGAGAGTGAGAGTTGATTTGAATTTGGGGTTGGAATATTTGTAACCCTGTAGGTTAGGTAATGTAGGAGGGTAGGGTGCTGGCTTTTGCTTTTTTAATCTCTGGTGCACAGCAGACAGTAGTAGTAAGGAAAGGAAAGGTTTTGGTGGAATGAATGACATGATGGGATGTGATGTGATGTGATAAATATTTTGGATGATTAGTTTGTTTCATCTGCGATTTGTGATGTGTGTGTATGGTACTTAATGCAGATGCAGATGTATGGGTAATGGGTGTGTTATTGATCATTGTTATTATAGATTCTATCAATGGGCATCTGTTTGTTTCTTCACATTCCAAAAATCCATTTCTTCTTCACGTGTGCTAGCTAATAAGATAGATTCATCAATATTGATTGAAATAAGGATCACATACATTCACTTGTGTTCAACTCTATTGTAGCATAATCATATAGAATAAAATTACAACACATCTTGTAAAAATGAGAGAATATTCTACAACACTCCCATAGTCCCATGTAAAAAGAACAAGATCAACCAACTACCTTCAAACTACAATAAGGTAAGCAATGAACTAATAATAGCCATAACCATACGTTGAATTTATATATCGAAATGAGTCGAGTCTGGATTTGTACTAAGTGCCGTGCTTCTAATATGCTGTTCAATGCTTTCTTCTTTCTCCTAAAACTAAAACTAAAACTTCTCCTTTTGGAGCCACAAACCACAAACGTCTTTTGCAACTCTTCTTGTGGTGAGTGTAGTGCCCCAACATAAACACTCGAGGAAGCCAACTTTGTGTCACATCTATACTCTAGTAGCTTAAGCTCATTGACCGATGCTCGTATCTTATGACTTATGTTGTCGTGGGTAGGGGCTTGTTAATAAGGGCCGCTTTTAAGTTTTAATATAAAGACGAAGTAAGGTACCCGATTGGAACCGATAATTCTCCGAATCTTTCAAACCTTGGCACAATGGTACGACAAGATTCCACCACAATCATCGACTAAAAAGATTCTGTCGCCATGAATACTCGTGTCCTCGTCTCAGCTTCACTCGTTCTTCTTCTTTCCCTCCTACTCTCACTTCATCTCCACAATAATCACAGTTAACCAAACATCCTTCCTTCCAATCTTCAATTTAATCACTTATATCCACCTCAACTCATTTCATCAACAATTCAAATTCTTGCAGATGAATCCAGCTGGAGCAACCGATTATGGTGGTTATCATCGAAATCATCCTTCTATTCAGGAATTGCCGATGCTGACCTGTTGGTGGCCAATGGGACGATATACACCAGCGATTCCTCTCTCCCTTTTGCTAATTCCATGGCTATCCGTGACGGCAGAATAATCCGTATCGGCAACTACTCGTTTGTTCGGGTAAGATATAGCCAAATTACCAAATACTTTGTTTTCAGCATCAACTGTGTTGCTTCTAAAATATGAAACGTTGTGAATTAATTACACAAGTACTCCAAATATGGAAAAAGATTAGCAAGAAAAACACTGTTTAGCATTGAAGACAACTATCTGAGCATTCTGTTTTTCAAGGCTTTGTGTAAACTGTAAACTATATGCAAATGCAGGAAATGTCTGGATATGGAACAAAAGAGTTAAATCTTGAGGGAAAAGTTGTTGTTCCTGGATTTATTGATTCTCATGTCCATTTGCTTTTTGGAGGACTCCAGGTTCTAAAATCCCCCACCTTCTTCTATCAATACATATAACATTTTTGTTTTGTTCTTTTCAGTTTAGGGCTAAATGCAAATCATAGCAACATACTTTAATTTATTTGTGCATTTCTTTCACCATTACAACATCATACTTTAAATATATTTATCTTACAAGCCATTAATTGTATTTTGAAAATTCTATTTTTTTTCTCATCAAGACTTATTTTTTTAATGTTACTTCTTTCCAACTATGATATGCTGATTGAGTTAGAACTGAAAACAGATGGCACGGGTAGAAGTTCGAGGTGTGAAGACAAAAAAAGACTTCATTGAAAAGGTTAAAGAAGCAGTGAAAAGTAAGTGTTTTCTGTATTTTCAATTTTGTTTCACTCTGGATATTTTATGGGACCCACATGATATACATCTCTTCTTCATCTTTATAGACATGAAAGAAGGTTCTTGGTTGTTGGGTGGTGGATGGAATAATGATCTTTGGGGAGGAGAATTGCCATCAGCCTCTTGGATTGATGATATTACACCTCATCATCCTGTAAGAAAAAACTAAATACAAATTATATAAACTGTAATTAAACCCCACTTAATCACAATTAGTCTTTTCAATCTTGACAGGTATGGCTTTCAAGAATGGATGGCCACATGGGATTGGCTAACTCTTTAGCTCTAAAATTAGCTGGAGTTACAAGTAACATGCAAGATCCAGTTGGTGGAACTATTAGCAGAAATGCAAATGGAGGTATCATAATATTATATATGATTATTATCTTCTTGGTTTCATTTTGTAAACTCATGTCTTTTGAATCATTATATGCAGAACCTTCAGGCCTTATGATTGATTCTGCAATGAAAGTTGTTCTTTCATGCATTCCAGAAGTTTCTGTTGAAGAAAGAAGGCAAGCATTGGATAGAGCTACTAGGTATGCATTGATGAGGGGTGTCACAACAGTTGTAGATTTTGGAAGATATTTTCCTGGAGCATCACTAGAACATTCATGGGAGGATTTTGAAGGTTTAGTGTCTGAAATGCCCATTTTACCCTTACATTCCAACAAACAGTTTACTCAATGTACATCAATTTTAACATAAGAGGATTTTGGAGGCAAGGGAAAAGAAAATAGTTTAATGGTTAATTTAATAAAATAAAGTGTTGACTTTCTTGTTGATTTCAGATGTTTACAAATGGGCTGATTTATCAGGAAGAATGATGATTAGGGTTTGCCTTTTCTTTCCAATGCCAACATGGTCACGTTTGCTTGTATGACTTTACCTGACTACTAACTACTTCATGATAATTTTTCTATGTTTACGTTTTCTAATAAATTAAATGTTAACATTAAATTTGATGTTCTTGTTTTCTTTTTAGGATATAATACAAAAAACAGGATGTAGGCTGAGCCAGTGGATATTCTTAGGTGGTGTTAAAGCCTTTTCTGATGGATCCTTAGGATCTAACAGTGCACTTTTTCACGAGGTGTAAATAAATTTTATTTTTTTCTTTGTTTTCTAACTTATTGTTTTATGAGATAACATTTCATTCATGTTTCTTGTAGCCATATGCTGATGAGCCTTGGAATATTGGCCTTCAAGTTACAGATATGGAAAGCTTATCTAATATGACTCTCCAATCCGACAAATATGGCCTCCAGGTATTTTATTTTATTTTTCATTTATCTTTAAAAATGTGGTTGTAAATATGTAAAATAACTTACTAGTTGAGCAATTTTTTCATCAGGTTGCTATTCATGCTATTGGAGATAAGGCCAATGACTTGATCTTGGATATGTATAAATCAGTTGTTTCAACAAATGGGAACAGGGATCGGAGATTTCGGGTATATGTTATTTAAAACTAAAACTATTATAAATCATTTCACATCAGTCTTAATCACAGTCCAATTCATGTCAGACACAGTACAAGACTGTCTTGAACCTATGGGAGTATGGGTATTTATATGATTCCCTTATTTGTTTTTAATTGAGGGTATTTAGGTAATTAATAAACGGTAGTGTAATTTACAGATGTTTCCATGAATCGGTAATCCCTTTTTTGCAGATTGAACATGCTCAACATTTGAGTGATGGAAGTGCAGCCAAGTTTGGTGAACAAGGGATTGTTGCTTCAGTGCAGGTAATTTAAGTACATGATTTATTTCTAGGGTAATAAAGAAGTTTGTCTACACTCTACATTGCTATTATGGTAACAAAAAGTAAAATAAAGTACATTGCTTGACAGCCAGATCATTTGCTGGATGATGCTGACTCAGCAATTAGAAAAATCGGGGTAGAGAGGGCGCAGAAAGGATCTTATTTATTTCAGACACTCCTCACTAGCAATGCACTTGTTGCATTTGGTTCTGATTGGCCAGTGAGAACTCTTTTTCTTTTCTACACTCACCTTGTCTGTATAAAAGACGTAAATGCCCTCCTCATTATTGATAGAAAAATTTTAGGTAGCAGAAATCAATCCTTTGAATAGCATAAGGACTGCAGTTGAAAGGAGGCCTCCTGGTTGGGATAAACCTTGGAATTTAGCTGAGTGCATGAAACTTACGGATGCATTAAATGCGTAAGTAAACATGAAATAGCAATGTACTTTCATTTTTATTTGTGCGTTAGATCATGATGCTTCCTGTTTATTTGTTTATGCTTTTCAGGCATACTATTTCAGCTGCTGAAGCATGCTTTCTTGATGAGGAAATCGGGTCATTATCTTCTGGAAAAATGGCTGATTTTGTGGTGCTGAATGCACATAATTTGGATGACTTAATAACACAAGAAGAAACCTCTTCGGTTGCAGCTACATATGTTGGTGGTGTGCAAGCTTATCCTTGATATTTATGATCTGTGTACACAGTTGTATAACCAAAACTAAGAACTAAATGTAATGGAACAAGACTACTGATGTCAATGAGACAAAAATTCCAATTTTGTGTTCCACATGAAATGGTGGAACATTGGCTCGCTCTCGATCTCTTGTATGTGTAAAAGACACAAATGCCCTCCCCATCATGAGAATAGCCTTAGAAAGCTTGTCCTCTCCCATGTAACGAAACGAGAGTTACGAGGCAAAATTACTTGTTTTCTTTATCTTATCTATTTGATCTATGATATGAATCTTATATATATGAATTTGTTAGTTTACAAATTTAAACTATATTGATGATATGTTGTTGAGTTGTTATGTCAGGCTAGTCCAAAGATATTTTGGGTTCAGGGCGAGAGGAAATAAAAAGGTCCTTAAAAGACACGGAGTATACACAAACGATTTATAAAAATGTAGTATTTTAAAGAAAATATATATTCTAGCTTTTTTAGATATAAATCATTAGTTATAGTAAAAAACATTGGTTCCTTTGTTGTGTCGTATGCTTTCTATCAAGTTGGTTAGGAGTTTGAATCAAGGAAAACTGATTTTCTTTTCCATTTTAACACAATAGTATCAAGATCAACATGTCTAGCATATCTTTATCCATACATAAAATAATCAACATATTTAATGTTTCTTGTCATGTGGATGACCTTAAGTAATCTTTAATAATTTCAACTTTAAAAAACTTTTCTCTATGTGTGCTGTAGGGACAAAAATGGTTAAAAAGATATTATATGCAATGAAATTCTAATGTTAAGATATAGGAAATGATTAATAATATTCTATATGCAATG